ATAGAACGAAGGTAATTGGTGGAACTCTGTACAATGTACACTTTCACACACTTTTTACATGTGGAAGCGGCATTCAACGTCCGTAAGGACTGTAAGGATAGAATGTTCCTTAATAAGCACCCGGAACAGTTAATTAAGGCTGATCCGGCTCGCTCCGTTCTATCAATAAGGGTATTTAGGTTACATAACTAAACGAATTAGGATTGAAGTGGTTGGTTTAGAATAGCCACTCCAGTTCTTTTTTACTTCTTCCTAGTTTTAATATGCATGGGTGGTTTGTAAGGCTTGGTTGGTTGGGTAAGTTTCGATGGGACATTGAGGAACGTGCATGAAAACTCTCAGAAAATCAGCCCACTATATGAATTCTCGTCAGTTATGGCATTTAAGAAGTTACATCCTAATACATTTCGAGATCGATAATGTTTCTAATCCAGGTAATATCCATTGATTCTCATCCAAAGAGAAGCCGAAGGCATGTGCCTTGCCCTCATAACTTCATACCTAGAGTATACAACCTTTTGAAGTACCCAATCAACTGTTTGCTCTTCTATGCAAACCACGCACAAGTTTATAGACACGGCTCCATTGTGGGATCTCGATGACATTCGGGGAGATTTACGGAATTGGATATATTCATACGGGATTGGGGTCCGGTAAGTAATGGATTGTATGCGTACATCTAATTCCGAAATATCCAAGCAACTCAACCATGAATTGCCCAATTTGTTGATTGATCATTCTTGTGCTTGCTTAGGAGCTTAGGAAGCTTGATATTGGTGCATAAATGCAGAGTTCCTATCGAATCATGTTGATGCTGTATGAAACCTTGGATGCATTTCTATCTATTACTATTCTGGTACTACTATATGCTCAACACTAGGCTTGCCATTCTATTCCATTCTTTTTCATCTAATTCTACAAAGTGTTTCCTTTTATTTCCATCTAATTGCCTTTGCCCATCCAATACATTAATTCTAGCAGTGCCCAGTTGTTTCTCTGTTGCTTCTCTGTTGCTTCTCAAATTACTTCTTACATCTTTTACCTTCCAATGTTGCCGGAGTCCCCCGCCTATATTCAATGAACAAAAATAAAGTCTGGATTCGGCTTCGATCTCCACAATTCATTCTAACATCACATCATACAAATCGTGATACTCGTATGATAACGAAGATGAACCGGTACTGAGGCTTGAAAGTTTGGAAACGTCTTCTTACCACATGGTCATTCCGAGAAATTGATACTTTTCAAATTTTATATCCAAATTGTGAGGATTCACCCCCCTCTACCATTCTATTTAAAGGTCCATACCCCAAATACAACCAACATTTCTACGCCACAACCAGATCATAAAGATATCAAACTATCAACAAATCGAACACGTTATTCGAAGTCAAGGATAATCCTTTACATTGTCCATATTATCAAATACCTTACTCACAACCACTTCCTTTGTCGGGCTTTGTATTAACAACCTCGGCATCTCCTCAACAACATAGCCTCCGATACATTCTTTCGGAGCTCCAGTTAAACTATATAATAACTACCAAGGTGTAAGTTTCGACTTACTTCAAAATTCAAACTGGTATCATCAATCTCCCCAATGGCAAGTGTGATTTGCCAGAAGCCTGCCGTCGATTACTTCTCATTGTCACGGCAGCAAACTGAAGTAAGTAGAATACTATCTTTTCAAATACAAAAACATCATGAAGTCAATGATGGCTACGAAGCGAGCATTTCTCCAAGTTACCCGGGTCTTTCGGATATGTCATGTGGATAAACTCCACCTCTTGCAGTTGCTTTCTATCCGTCTTCGCTTCAACAATCACCCCACTGCAGCATTGACTGACAGCCAGTTATTATAGCAAAGTACTTCCCCATTTAACTGGGATAGCGAGCCTGCACTCGTCAACAACTCAGACTCTTGTGACTCTATTCTTCCATCACCAATCTCATCCGACCCGATTTTTTCTAAACCTTCTTACATACTCCCCAAAGAAGAACCATTCCAAAATACCAACCGCAAATCATCCACAGGTCAAGCATTTGACTTTGGTACCTTTGAGGATTGGATGCGTTGGGACGACCCAAGTGAAGCAGCCTTATCACCTACCTCAGATTTCTTCCCAGAACTCAAAATTGAGCCCCTCTCGCCTAATATGAGCGGTCTCGAGCTCTCCCGCAATCTTTCTAGCATCGACGAAGCAGCAGTATTCGGTGACGATAATTTAGTCGACGCTGGAGAACAACTATTTCAACCCACACCAAGTAATCTCATGAATTCGCCGATGATCGATATTCCACCTAGGGATGGTTTATACTCCACCCCTCTATCCTGGGCACGACCCCAAATGAACTCAAATATCAACCTCCGTCGCGCACAAACCATCCCCAATCTTCAGCAGCAACCTATACTTTATAACCGTACTCTCACTCCTCAAGAAGAAATTCAACTCCGTGCTATTGCTATGCCTCAACAAACTCAAAATACCTCTGCATATCCCACCTCTCCTACCTCATCCAGAAGTTCGCCAGCGCATTCTCCAATCTCCAGACCCACACGACAGTCAATGTCAAATTCGAATCATTCTAATAACCTGAAACGCAAATCATCAGCTTGTTCTTCAGACTCAAATTCCGATGGTGAAGATGAGGTACCCGCCCGTCATCCACCCATCAAGAAGACCGCCCATAACATGATCGAGAAGCGATACCGAACGAACTTGAATGATAAGATTGCTCTACTAAGGGACAGTGTACCCAGTCTGAGAGTAATGACCAGAAAATGTTCAAGAGGACAGGAAGACGGCGATGAGCATATTAATGGGGATGATGAGGAGGAAGATTTACAAGGCTTAACACCAGCACATAAATTAAACAAGGTATATTCTTGCAGACATCTAATTTGATGAAACTTCGAATCTAATGGATTTAACAGGCAACTGTATTGTCTAAAGCGACAGAATACATCAACCACCTCGAAAAACGCAACAAATACCTTCAAAAAGAAAACGCAGCTCTCAAATCCCGTATCGAAGCTTTCGAAATGTTAGTCATGTCCAGTCAGTCCCAAAACGGGGCACCGCAACAAACCAATGGGATGCAAAGAGGAAGATATGGATCGTGAACGCTAGTGTGGGGCTAGTAGGCTATGAGTGCTACGAGTTCTACAAGTTGAAATTGGAGGGGCTAATGGAAACTTGAAAGGAGCAAGAATTGTAAAAAAAGAACAAATGGTGTTTGGAGCGGTTTTTTCCGGGAAGAAAAATCGAAAATTTCATGATATTTTGGAAAAGGCGTTATGGAATAATGATGGGAAAGGAAAGGAATGAATGGGTTTAGCGGAACAGCAGAAGGATACCCGAGGATTTCTACAAACGTTTCAGAAATTTCAGTACAGTTGTTTGTTCGCTGGAAATTTTGATGAAGAAAAATCAAAATATAATCTAAATTAGATTCTCAAGCATGTTTTCTCTCTCCACATCTACATATCTTTGTGATTAGATTTACTTTATTCAAATGGTGATACTGTGCTCTTGTCAGTGACTAACTTGAGCTGATGCAGCAATGAAGACTCCAGTGCTAGAAATGAAGTTTCAGACGTTTTACCAGCCATCAAGTCGAGTTCATTGTCTTAAGCCTCTATGCTGAGAATCATGCTTCCCTCTTAATCCCCCAAATTCCCTAGCAAAGCCGAGATACTCATCTCCTCTCAAAGTTTCTCTGCTCTGAACACTGGAACGAACAGTATGCAAAAACACCCAAGAGCTCATCTGAAAATCAATACCCTCTTTCAAAAAAACAGACCGCTATTCACAATCCCTTAATAATAAAATCCATTTGTCCATGCTCCCACATATACGCAGACTCCCTACATCCCACCATGTCATACTACCATCCTTGACTCTGCTAGTAGTTACCGACATACATGACACCTATTTCTACCTCATCTCTGCTTAGCCCAAGAACTGGCCCGACCCGCGCAGCATTAGTTCAAAAATGCAAGTGATCCGCACATCCGCAATTCGAGTACTTCATCTCCAATCTGCAACTTCAACGCCACCCTTTCACCAATCATGTCAGCAAGGCACGCACGCAAGCTAAAAAAGCCGAAAGCAAATACCGGCACTAAAACCGCAGAATAGCAAGCATAAGATCCCAGCCACACACATAAAAAATAACTACCAGATTAAAAGGCCCACAACGCCCATGACCATCTATCGGAAAAGTACGGAATGCACCTCCCTCCCAGCAGCACTATAGGTAACTTTCGGATCCCTCTTATCCGAATCACGTTATTTACAATCCCTTCATCCTCCCAACCTTCAGCTCTTCACATTTCGTAAGACGGACTTCGCCTATGTGAATAAAAATTCAGGAGATACATTCTGTTCCAAGAAACGAAGTGAATTCTATACGAAGCGTGCGGTACAAAAGGGAGCTTAAACAATGGTACAGACGAGGAACTGATTCCGTTCGTTACATTATTAAGGTGCTGTAATATTAGATGAGATTTGATGCGATGCGATGCGATGAGACGTTGTATTTTGTATCCTTCATCCATCCATCCATTGTTATGAAACGGCGAGCTTGCGTGTGTCAATCACTCTCTTCAAGACGTTGTCGGACCCGAATTTTCTTACTAGGTATATATGTGAGTATCTCCTGAGGATCATCTGATCCTCGAATCGACTTTCCAATTCGTACTCGGGGATTAAAGAAACAAAAATTCAAGAATATGTGCTAGGGGATGGATAGGTATTTTGAATTTCTCAATTTTGTGACCCGAATTGACTTGATTAAGATGACTACCTAGTATATGCCGCGTATGCATGATTATCTTTCTTTCATTCTTTCTTAATTCCTTCCTATGATACCCATGAAACGTCCTTTATGTTAGCATTCCAACGAAGTTACAAACGCCCTGCATACCTTCCTTTCTCCCTTCATTCAATAATACAAGTCCTCTGGATAGCACAATCATCATAGCTGCACAGTCAAACTTATGACCTCTTCTTCCCCTGTTTCGCCGTCATCTTTCTAAAGGCGTCTACACCACCCGCACCAATAGGCCTGGAAGATGGATCCAACCCTCTACTTGGGTCGAAGTTACTTCTAGGAGCGATTGAATAACTGGTATTTGAAGTTTCCATTCTAGCTCTGTTGCTAATGACTTTTGGTGCGAGAAGACGTTGACGCTCAATATCACGAGCCGTGAGTTGTGTTCTTTGGGAGGAAGGCATTTGCGAAGATTGAGAGCCGGAAGGACGGATCGCAAGTTGTGCGGCTCTGAAGTGGATGTTAGTGAGACAACATGTGTTGAATTGAATATACATACTGGAAATCATAATCCTTTGTCGCGACCTTACGCTTCTTATAATCGTCACTTCGCTTCAAAATTGGTCGTGACCATTCTCCCAATAATCTTTCAGCGATTCTCTTGATTTGAATTTCTGGCCTCTTGCTCTTCGTGTAATATAGAACGACCTTACCAATCCCACTGCTCAGAAGTGCTTCTTTTTCAATCGGTAAACGCGCTAGTGCTTGAAAGAGATCACGTTGAATATTGTATGCCGGAAGACTTCCATCATTTAGTGGTTCCAAGAAAAACTTGACGGACTGTAGAAAGTTGGTATCGGGGTCGACGATGGAATGTTGAATGGTGTTTCTGTTGAGAAGAGCGACAACTTCCGGTAACATTTCAAGCTTTCTGGTTGCGGGTAAATTGGCATCTCGAGCAGCATTATCGGCTTGGCATGCTTCTTCCATTCGAAGCTTCAAAGCTGCAATTTCATCGTCGAAAGCTTCTTCCAAATCCTGCCACAAAGTTAGGTTCTATATCTTTCACAACAGAAAATATGGACATACCACTTCATCCTTCTTTCTTCTTCTCTTGTTCGGATTCTTAAGCGCGGCATCCATAGCCTTATCCAAAGCTCTACGTCTCCTCTCATCCGGCGTGAGATTTTCATCATTTTCTGGTTCTGGTGTTGCCTTTCTTCGTTCCTTGGTTCTGTCCCTATCCTTTGCCTCACCCTCAACTCTCTTGGGCTTTCTGATTCTCTTTCCATCAATCTCCATTCCATCGGGATCCTCATCTGAGTCTCTGCGCGGCCTCTTCTTCTTGTCTCGCTTTCCTTCCTTTGGTTTCTTTGCTTCACCTTCCGCACGCTTGCGCTTACTGGCCTTCAACGTCTTCGCAATATCTTCATCGATACCAACCATAGGTCTCTCATCCAAAGCAACTTTACTTGCATCAAAATCATCAAAATTGGCTTCGTCGACATCAGAAAGATCTGATTCGTTATCGGATCCAGCGCCGCCATCCTCTGCATTATCTAAATCATCCATATCGAGATCTGGGTTGGCCATAGGAGGTTCTGGTGTATCACGTTCTTGTGAAATAGGTCTATTCGGATCTCCAGCATCGTTTCCAGCTTCTGGGAGGGGGTAGTAGGTCTTGAATTGAGGTCGGAATCCGACATATTTGCAGATTGTGAAAAAGGACAAAGGAAGCTTGTATTATTATCTATCGAATGTTGAATTGTTTTAAAATATCATCCGCGTGTCAATCGGAAGCCGATTGCCGATATGGTATCGATATCGAGTCGTAGTGGTTGTCGTAGAATTGGACAGATGCAAAGAAATTATATGAATTGTTTCGTCGCAACTCGCGTTGTACCAAGCTGAAGTTGTATATTAACTGAAGCTTTGTCAAATCCAGCTAGTGGATGTTAAGGTTAGTGTTGAATCGGAAAAATCTTGGTTGCCTCAGGAGCGCCGATTCTTTGTTTACTTTGGATTTTCCAAATGCCGTATCACCTCACTTCCCCATATCTTCACGTTTAAGCTCCAAATTTTGCTATCAACGAGCAAAGAAATACAATGTGGAGTAACACTTCTAGAAGGACAGGTGAAGGTCCTATGGACTTTGAATGGCAAGAGAAAGGTGGCCCTATGGATCCAAAATCACCGTTTCTACAATTCAAAGCTATGCAGCTTGATAACAGTGAGTATCTTCACTTTCGTACCAGCGAACAAAAAGTAACATGTGTACTAACAAGGCAATTAGATACAGCCAAACCAACCAATTCTTTTCTAGCACAGAACTCCACACCAGCTCCAGCATTTCGAAATCCAGCATTCACAACACCCCGCAAACCATATAATTCAGACATATACTCCGAAGCTTCGGGAATTGAATCTTCCCCCGGTGAAACTGCCGACGCAGAGGATACACCTGAGATACCAAAAACTTCCAGCAAAACCATGACGGCTTTTTCATCTAATGCTTCTTCACGCAAACCGCTATTTGGTAAATATGGCACAAATTACAAAGGAACCAGTCCTGGCGCTCGTAATGATTTGCGCAGAATGAAGCTGGGAGGTCAACCTATCGCTAAAAAGCGAAAGCGTCAGCATCGGGATGAACGAGAAGATGAAACGATGGGGATAGTGCGACATCACAGAAAGGAATCGGCTTCGGAATCGGAGAGCGAGTCAGGAGATTCAAGACCCAATAGTCGATCGACTGAAGGAAGGCAAGCGTGCAACAAACCAGGCTGGTTCTCCTCCTTCCTATCTGGTATCGAGTCGCGACCCAATCTTCCTAACATTCTCTCTTACTACGCTCAATTAACGCTCAACACTTTCGTCGTCGGACTAATAATGTTTGGGGTTTACACATTCTGGACTACAATCCGAAGCGACGTTGATCAAGCATCTCAAAAAGCCACCGCGGAAGTTCTATCCGAGATGGCCAACTGCGCAAAACAATACACAGAAAACAAATGTGAACCAAGCATGAGATTACCTGCTTTGGAAACTGTTTGTAATAACTGGGATGCCTGTATGTCTATGGACCCCAATGCTGTCGGAAGAGCTAGAATCAGTGCGAAAACATTCGCAGAAATTTTGGATAGTTTTATCCAGCCTATTAGCTATAAAGCCATGGTACGACCACTCCTACACCCCCCTACCTCCTCTTCTATCCGCAAACTAACAGCGACCTTTAGATCTTCGTAGCACTGATTTTCACCCTCTCCATCGCCGTCAACAACATGGCCTTTGGAATGTTCCGTTCCAAACCCCCCATCTTTCACCCCGAACCCCAACCTCACCCTCAGCAACATCTCCCCCAACACCCCAACTATTTCGGGCAACCAAATCCCTGGGGAATCCCCCAAACGCCTCAATCACATTTCGGTCCTTACGAACCCTGGCCCACCGGAGCAGGAACAGCCCAGAGAGCATTATTCCAGAGAAGCACTTTTGGAAATAGAGAAAGAGACATGGAATTTAAAGCCATTGAGAGGAGTCCGAGTAAGAATCGCGGGAGGAGTAAGGGGAGAAGTCCGAGTAAAGGGGATAGGAGATATTTGGAATAGTGTTTTACTTGGGTAATTAGGGGTAGCGAGATCAGATATGACTTGGGATAGTTTCTTGATATTTTTGTGGTATGCAGGCTGGATGGGAAAGAAAAGAACAGGATAGGAAAGAGGTCAGAATACATGGATGGATGGATGGATGGATGGATGGGAATGCATGAAGCAGGATCTTTATATCATCCTACCTAGTTACCACAATACCAGTCAGCACAGGAGTCAAGGAGTTAGGAGTCACAAAGGAAGTGGAATGACAGCTTGCTATTTCATTTCACATTCTAGCGTACATTATGTTATATGTATATATATGTGTATGTGTATGTGGATACTATACCCAACAGCAAGCAAGAAACAATAAAGAAAATAGCCAGCCTACTTACTTCTTACTCCCTACCCTCATGAGCTCGAATTACATGCCTATTTAATGTTACATGTTGTATGTTGCATGTTGCATGTTACACATTACGCGTTACATATTACACGTCGTAAAGCACGCACGCACGCAAGCTCACAAACTCACACATCCAAATAATCCCATCTCCATCCCATCACATCCCCATCTCTATCCAAAGATATACATACTCATATATAACCATCTAAGAATCGTCCCATATATATTTTCTACCTACTCCTACCTACCTACCTACCACTCCTACCTACCTACCACCCAATAAGCTAAAGTTTTCTCCCCTCTCAAATCTCAAATCGTCATCATCACTTATCAAGAGAGTAGGTAGTATCAAGACTCGATAAATTTCTCCTTCACATCACATAAGTACCCTGTTACCCTGTCTTTTCCATTTCTCCCAATAATCCATTCATTCATTCCTCCTCTCCCAATCCATCCCATCCCTTCCCATCCCATCTCATTCCAATCGTCATTCTCCATCATCTCATATCTCATCTCACTACTCATTCAAACCAATTTGTGAAAAAAAAGTCGTGGTTCGTGATACCATACTACATGCATGACAAATGGCACCGCCCCATCCGTCCCATCCACCCTAGACTTTAATTGCGCGAATCCAATCCCATAAGATGACCACCAACAGATGACCCATCACCCAACCCACCCCAATCATCTGCGCCTGAGTTTCATGAGAAAGGAATTCCTACACTCTATCATTCTCGAATCTCGCGAGTTCTTATCTCTTCCTGACTTCATATGCCCACCCCTCGATTCCTTCACCCTTGCTCCCTACTTCCAAGCCTTCAATCTTCACCCCTTTCATACCGGCTGTATCTTCCAACCACGGTGCACCTGCCATTCCTCCAGCATTTGCCCTCTTCTCCGGCGTCAACTCCAACATAGGAGTTAAGAATTCCGCAATTCTCTTCGCTTCATCTTCTTTAAAATGATACTTTTCTTTCAATACATCCGGCAAGGCCCAATGTCGTAATCGGTGGATGTTTCGTAGTTCGCCCTTTCGGTTAAATATTTCTTGTGACCATTTGCCAGATAAACAAAGGGATTTGGGGAAGGGCCCGAGAAGTTCGATTATTTGAGCAATGTGATCGTCATCTTTGCCATATTTGGTCCCGGATTGAGGATCGAAAAGATAATCACCAGTAATAAGTTCAAAGACCTAATGATTGTAAAATTAGCTATGGTTTTGGGAAAGGGAAAGTGCATCAATATACCATAGCAGCCATACTCCAAACATCTGTAGAAGCACCCCATTTGGAGCCCAATATGACTTCTGGTGATCGATATTGCCTTGTTTGAATATCATTTGTAAAGTGATGTCCAGTCCAGCAAGCATTTCCCAAATCGGCAATTTTGACTGATATTATATCGAATTGATTTGCATCCTCTGCCTTCTTCTTTTCGCCCGAATTTTTGTCGAGCGATATGCCAGAGACCTTATCTGTAAGGATATCGCTAGAATCAAGTTAGGGGCGGTATATGATGGCATGAAGGTGACTACTTACGCAGTCTTTTCTCTTGTCCCATGGTTCTCCTCATCTGCCTTTTCTTTTTGAGGTGAAGAATTGTTAGAACGACCTATTGCACCAACCATTAGAACATTATCCATTGCCAGGGATTTCCGACGGAGTATATTTACTATTATTTAGCATTTCATTGATACTCCCATGAGAACCTGGATTACTGCCAGGAAATCTCATCAAATCTGCGTGGTTGAAGCTGGCATTCAACGGACTTGGTAAAGGTTGACTTCCAGTAATAAGGGTTCGCCGTCTCCTTCGGCCATTTCTGTTATCTTCCTTGTCCTTACTCGTATCCTCCTTGACGAATGTTTTCACAATCTGTTCCACATCTCCAATTTCTATCAGGACGTTCTCGGGCTTCAAATCTGTATGTATAATGCCGCACTCTCTATGTAGATAATCCAGACCCAACAGAACTTGTTTTGTAATTTGTTTCACAAGAGGCATGGGGATTCCGCGGTGGTTCCATCTTTTGATCAAACCCAACAGATTCTCTCCCAGCACCTCGAAGACCATACAGACATGTGTGCCATTTGGACCCTTGTGTTCAAAAGAATCCAACAAACTAACAACATGCTTTCGACCTGGATGATCTGGCTTAGCACCAACAATTTTATTGAGTAATTTGATTTCGTCTATGGCCGTCTCCGTGTAATGCGCTGCAGATCGTACCACCTTCAAAGCAACATGTTTCTGAGTGACGTTGTCTTTGGAAAGCCATACTGTTGAGAAATGACCCCATCCTAACTTTCGAACCACGGTGTATTTGCCATCTTTGAAGTTTTCACCGACTTGCACTGGGTGATAACCTCCTTTGCAGTAATCTTCAGAGTCTTCTTCGTCTGCAGTCGTTTCTGCTGCGTCTTCTCTCGAGGAAGAGGATGATGGATCGCGATTTGTTCCTGAGGCGGATCTATTTCCATCATCGATTCTAGTTAGCAAGTTTTGAAGCATTGAACTCATCATCGTGAATGAATACAAGGAAAGTGCAGCATTTTTGCGCGACCTTGTTGGAGGGGAGGGTGGTTTATATTTTGAGGCGCTGCACCTTAAACACAGAAGGAGGGTTGGAAGGTCAGAAAGTGGGACATTTTTGGTGACTTACCCTGCACGGGCTTGAGCAGAAGCCATTTTGGAAGATTCAGAGTCTTGCTCGGTTGTGATGATTGGCTTTAATGAGTCTTTCTTTCTTTTTTTCATAGCATGCGCATTTGAATTTTTAGTTATAGATTCTTTCGCTTTAGCAATTGCAGAAGCCTTTATCCGATCTCCGTTCATTATTCGGTTGTGGGTTGGTTGTGGTGGTTAGATGGTGGGTTAGTGTGAATTGGTGTGGAATTCGGTGTGGTACTGGTGTGTTGATGGGTGTGTATTGGTGAATAGTTTTGCAGTGGGTTGATTGATTGATTGATTGATTGACTGATTTTGTTGATGGAGAAAGGGAAAGGATTCGGATTGAGAATGGGTGTGGATGATAGATAGTCAAAGGGTATTGGTATTGGTATTTTGCTAGGTTGGTGGAGTTGTTTATGAGTGGATGTGGAAGTGGAGGTGGGTGGTAGGTCAGAGGCCAGAGGTCAGAGGTCAGAGGTAGGAGAAAGTAGGTAGGAGGTGAAGAAGTCAATGGAATAGATATAAGAGGTGTGGGAATAGGTATCGTAGTAGTAGTGAAGTGATAGGTATAGACAACTAGTAATGGATAGATAGATAGGTAGGTAGGTAGGTAGGTAGGTAAATATGTAGCTAGCAGGCCGGTGCTGGGTAATATTTTCCAAAAAGGTCTTGAATCTTTTTATTTACGGGTGGAGGAGGTGGAGGTGGAGATGGAGATGGAGATGGGAGTTGGTGGTGGTAGTGGTGGTAGTGGTGGCAGTGGTGGCAGTAGTAGTAGTGGTGGCAGTAGTAGTAGTCGTAAATTGATACTCGAGTAATAAGAGGAGGAGGAGGAGGACCAGTGAGTGGATAGTCAAATTTTAACTTGCTTGCTTACTTGCTTGCTTGCTTGCTTGCTTTGCTTCCCGCCGAATTATGACGAATTGATAGGAGGGGGGCGCTTCGACCCAAAAAAATAAATAAAGTTAAGTCGTTTCCTGTCTATCCATCCATGTACTTGTCCTGTACGTAGGTAGGTACCTAGGTAGCTGTGTTCTTTTCTTGGGCGATTTGGGTGCCCAGCGAGCCCAGATGATCATGTAGGTAATATATAAATATCATCTACACCTCCTATTGGATTGATGTGATGGATTATAGAGTAAGTAGATCGATAGATAGATAGGTAGGGTAAGAATCTGTGACGGTCAAACAATCATGTAACACAACCTCGGTATTTTATTTGGGGTTCACATATATATCGTAAGGTGTGTGATGGCAGCTAATATATAAGGAGTGTATGAGATGAGAGGGGAAAGGTATAAAAATGGAGGAAAGAATTGGAATATAGCCAAGTAAAGAGGAAAAGAATCAATGTCCGTTTACAAGAACGAGAACAAGGACAAGAACAAGAACAAGAAACAAGAATTATTCAACCATAAATATCCCTATTCAAATGTATCCAAAATCCATATACCGCCTGGTAAACATCAATATTTCGGTGAATCAATCAATTATGGAGCAATACATCGATTGGATGGATCAAGCTGAAAAGGATTATTGAGAAGGTTGAGTGAAAGGAGAGAAGGATATAATACGGTGTAGTAGTTTTTGGCCGTGGATTGAGTGTAGGTAGGTATATATGTATATATGTATGCATGTATATATGTATATATGTATATATGTATGTACGGATAAGAGATGGATTGAGATGCATTATAGATAGGAGAGGATGGGAGAGGAGAGGAGAGGAGAGGAGAGGAGAGGATAGGCTGGTTATGGATGGATGTGGAGGTGAAGGGTTGAAGGGTTGAAGGGTTGAAAGGTTGCAGTGGAGGGGTATTTTTCTTGTTGGATGGTTTTCATGGATGATGTGATGATGAATAGATAGATTTGGGTAATTATGTTAAAAACATAAAGGTATTACGCTCAACAGATCTGACAGCACTAAATTGTCCAAAACCTGTAAAGTGTCTAGATTTCAACCAAAATAGAATCGAGATTGAATACGAATGGAGACTTGGATCAATTCTGATATCATCGAGTTACCTACCGGCAGTGCCCAGAATCATTTAGATGTAGGTAGTCGATGATAACTCTCTTCGTGCCGGAATATTGCTCACAATACTCATCTATCTACTTTCAAATCGAGTTACTGATATCTAATTCTTTCTATTTCAAGGTTCAAGATAAACAAGAAGATCCAAGTACAAAATAATTCAATCTAAATGCTATACCGCACTTCCATTAGTACTAGCGAGAATGTACCCCTCACATCTACTCCGTATACTCAACACCCAAGACTCACACATCGTTCGTCCAATATCTAATATCCAATGTCCAATGTCCAATATTATGAAATCCATGTCAATCCAAATCTTCCATCTCATCCGTTCATCTCCTCTCAATCCTTTCACTTGAATGGTCATATCTATTAACATCCATTATAGCCATAACACACGTCGAAACCTCTATCCTCATAAAGGAAAACCGCCATCGATGCTGTCACTGCATAGCATCCTTGTTCCATTTCTTCATCAACTTACAAGCCACACCAGTAACTTCACCGATTCCCGGAATCCTTCCCAATCCTTTCCAATCCATCAATTGTTTGACATGTTCATTCCCCGAATAAACCGCCACACAATAACAGAAACATATCTCTCCCTCACCCCTTCCGATGATTAATCCTAAAATCAAAGCCTTGCCCCTCCATCTCACATCCGAAGAGGGGCAATCCAAGACATAGGTACCCAGCCCTGTGCTGAAAAAATATCGAAAAAGCAAAGAAAATGCATGACCACAAAAGCAACCACCTCTTCCATGTCCTGTCCAGAATGCAAAAACGTGCTGAAAAGCGTGGACTACAGCTTTTGCCGCATCGCATCGCATCGCATCACATCATTTGACAAGACGTTAGGTACGAAAGTACACAACAGACTTTCTGCTATCTAGGCGTGACCTGAAGATTTCACAATACCTGTGTCATCTCTCCCTAATGAGGATATCCGTGATTTTTGGCCTGTTCGGTATTGATGTCCAAATGTGTCTAGGTGGTTTGAAATCCCATGAGTGTGGCCATTCAAATTCAAAATCATCCAAATTGATTCAAAGACACACGGACAAGGTACACCTTACATGTGAAAGTCGCTCATGACCCAAAGATGATTTGAGTAATTAGAACATCTCCAATAACGTAAGTCAGTTGAATGTGAGAAGTTTATAACAGTTTATATATACCCAAGTCTTTCGAGCAAAGTCTCACAACCCAATCATACACGCAAACAACTTATGTCCACGGTTATTTCTCGGCCGGACATAAGATACTGACATCTTGAAGTCTTCAAGCACCGTCTGATCCAAGCTCACTTCATCTCGGTGTCATTGTCCCTGCAATCCCTTTTCTATGCACAAGCTAGATCGGTTCCGTGTATTAAAACGGGACCGACTTTATGTCGACGGCACCGATTTGTTATCGTTCCCGCCCGGATTTAACAAATGTGCAACAGGCAACAGAGATATCTATTCGAGGAATAGTTCTACCTCGATGTAGGGATATAGGGAGGTACAAATACTTTGAATATCAGCTTCCTCTACTTCTCAACTTTATTATGATTTCATTTTAACTTTGAAATATCACTGTCGTTATCATCATCATCATCATCATCATTGCTATTTGCAGCGCCAAAATTGACTATACATCAAACTACATCACAAGTACCTCCTTCATCAAGCATACCAACTCAAGAATGTCACAACCCAAAGTCCTAATAGCAGGAGCAGGCCTCGGCGGTCTCTGTCTAGCTCAAGGTCTCAAAAAAGCCGGCATAGATTTCCACGTCTACGAGCGAGACCAAGCATCAGATTACAGACTGCAAGGCTATCGAATCCGGATTCATTCCGAAGGAACTGATGCTCTCCAACAATGTCTACCCGATGACATCTATCAACTATTTGAAGACACCTGCGCCGAAATGCGTCTAGGACCCGGCTCCCAAGCAGATCCTCTAACCGGCGACATCCTCCCTCCTCAACCCCAACAACTTGGCAAAGGACCTCCTCCCATGTTTCGAAATGCTCGTACAGTTGATCGTCGCGTCTTCCGCGATGTTCTCTTAACGGGATTGGAAAATCACGTTTCCTTCGGAAAAGAATTCTCCCATTACAGCACAAACAACAGCGACGCGATAACCATCACCTTTTCCGACCGCACCTCCGCAGCCGGTACTCTCCTCATCGGCGCCGATGGCGTTCACTCCCGCGTTAGGAAACAATTCCTCCCATCCCACATCCCCCTCGACACAGGCGGTCGTATCATCTACGGCAAAACACCTCTCTCCGCCGATCTCACATCTACATTCCCACCCGAAATGCTCAAAAGCATGTCCATAATCCGCGAGCCCCACGGCCCCATCTCCTCCATCACCCTCCTCGAACCCATCACTTTCAAACTCCCCACCGCCTCCCCCCATCCCCTTCCCATCGCCCTCCCCCATCCATACATATACTGGGTAACCTCAACCCAAGCATCTGATCTCGCTCGCCTCCCCACCCCCTGAATCCCCAATCTCTATCCCAATCCCTAACCTCTCACTTTCACCCCTCCCTCCACCCCCTCTTCACCCACCAATCCCCCTCCCAAACGTCCCTCCTCCCCATCTCCACACACCCCTCTCCGCTCCCCGTCTGGACCAGCAACCCCACCCTCACCCTCCTCGGCGACGCCGCTCACGCCATGCCTCCGACTGGCGCATCAGGTTGCGTCACCGCGCTGCGGGATGCGGGAAATCTCGTGCGGTTACTAGTGGAAAGGGGTGTGAAAGATGGAATCAAAATCTATGAAGAAGAGATGAGGGAATATGGGAGTGCGACGATTGAGAGGAGTTTGGAAGCCGCGGTTAAGATGTTTGGGTTTAAGGCGAGAGAGGAGTGGAAAAATGTGGAGTAGGTAGATAGATGGATTGATTGAGTATTTAGTATTAGTGTGAGGGAGGGATATTTGTGTAATTTGTGTAATTTGTATAATATGTATAAGTACGCGTATAGTGGTTCTAGAAATACTAGGTACTACACCTACACAATGATATACAACATTGATTCCTTCCTTCATTTCCTTCCTTCTTCCTTTCTACCCTCATAATCATTCAAGAACTTCCTATTCTGGATATTCATCTCCTCTCCTCTGATCTCATCTCTGCCCATCTACTCTCATCTCTCCTCACCCCCCAAACAAGAATATTCTCCCTCCTCTATCTCTATTCTCACCACCCTCTAACAAACCCCATTCCTGAATCTCAACCCTACTTCCCCAAAACCCCTCTAATATACAAATCTTCATTTAAAAATACCACCCCCTCTCAAGTCATAACGAAAACAAAACTTCCTTCCACCAATCAACTCAGATCAATCACCTCCAAGTTCCAATCGCCGCAATCCAATCTTCCTGATCCTTTCTATAATTCAATTCATTAGCAAACTATCCCTTAACTCCAAACAGATAAATTCAAGAAAAGGGGTCAAACATACTTGTCCAAATGAAACAACGATGCCAGAATCGTCTGGATCAAACTCGCCTGAATCTTTTTATTCTTTTCCAATAAAAACTTCAACAAAACCGACTTTGTGTATTTGACGTCTGTCTCTGTGACGCCAGCATCTTTCTTGCCAGTAGCCGGACTCTTTGATCTTCCCGAATCAATACTTGTTCTCGAAGAACCGTCGTTTAATCTGGATGTTTTCGTCTGCAATAATTTGACTTCTTTTTGAAGTTTCTCATATCGTTGATTTGCGTCCTCGAGAAGTTTTCCAGTATCCGCCTTCTGCTTCTCGGCGGCACGGAGTTGTTTTTCGGTACTGTTTAAAGTATTCTGGAGTTCGCTCATTGCTAAGCGTGTTTCCTCAGCTTCCTGCGATGACTTCTCGGCTAAACTTTCAAATTCATCACGGCGTCTCTTGAGCTCCTTTTGTGATTGCTCAAATTCATCTCGGTCATCAGTTGCTCGCTTAATATCTCGCTCGTAATCTCTGATTTTGGTCTTGAGTTCATCTACTTCTCGAGATCTGCGACGAGCATTGGTACTGGCTTCATCTTCTGCTCGATCACGTTCTTCTCGCATTTCCCGAACCCTAGCTTCAGCTTTTCCTTTCTCCTCTTTCTCGACGGCCATGAGTCTACGAATAGTCTCGCACTCTCGGACTCGGTCGTTTAGATTTCTTTGGGCGTCGCCGAGCTCTTCCTCGAGACTCTCTGCTTCTTCTCTCTTCTGCTTCAATTGTGCAATCAGCTCCGCTTCTTGACTTTTCAAGCTATCAAGCATTCCTTGCACGTTCTTGTATTCAGAACCTCTTATTTCAACCACCTCACGAAGCTCTTTGTTTTCAGTAGATAGTTTTGAAACCTGTCCTTCGAGTTCTTGAACACGAGTACGTAACTTTCCGGTTTCTTCTTGGACCTTTGATAGTTCTCCCCTAGCTTTTTCGCCTGAAGCTGCCAATTGAACCTTTGCGGCCTCGGACATTCGTAGATCACGGCGTGCGGTGGAAACTTCATTCTCGGCTCGAAGTCGACCATTCGTCTCTTGAACAACCTTCTCATTCAAAGATCGGATCTCATCGTCTTTCTCAGATGTTTGCTTCTTGAAGCTAGTAATTTCACCCTTCAAATCCTTCTCGCGTGCTTCTAATCTTCTCAATTCAGAAGTACGGGCGTTCAACTCGTCCTTGGTACTCTTCAATGTTGCATTCTCAGCGCGCAGAGTCTTCATTTCGGGTTGAGCACTCTCTAGGATTTGTTTCAAATCCGTAATCTCCTTATAACGTGATGTGGCCAATTGCTCAGAGGCACCAAGATCCTTTTTCATCGTACTGAACTTCGACTCTAATTCTTCACACTCGGATGTTTTGCTCTTGAGGTCTTCCTCTAACTTGACTAAAGTCTTTTTGTGGCTTTCACCTTCGGATCCCAAGCTGCTGATCTTTTCCTCAAAAGCAATATTTTCTTCTTGTAATTTGGCTGAAGCGTCTTTGTGAGTTTCAATTTCAGAATTTAGGTTGGCTGAAGCTGTCTTGTAAGTTTCAATTTCAGATTCTAACCTTCCAACCTTTTCTTCAAGAGCAGCCTTCTCTTCTTGCAACTTAGTCAGTTTTTCTTCAGCCTCAACGTTTGAATCAACCTGGGCCTGTAGCTTAGACTCCACTATGGCAAGCTGCTCTTTTAGGGCAGTTTTCTCTTTTTCCATTTCGTCTGAAGCTGTCTTCCTATTTTCTTGACTCTGTATCTCAGCCTCTAATTTGTTGGCTTTCTCTTCAAGGTCAGATTTCTCTGTCTGAAGTTCCTTAATTTTGTCCTTAGCAACTACACATTCTTGACCAATGAGAAGTAAATTATCTTGAAGATCTTCAATCTCCTCCCTGAGATCATCCTCTGTCTTACGCTTAACTTGTAATTTCTCTATTTGCTTATCCTTATCAGCAATCTGGGTTTTGAGTTGGTTGATTTCAGTTTGCAAAAACGCGGCATCGAGACTAGGTGCCTTCCCAGAGACAGAAGTAGGTTCTTGATTAGCAGAGGTAGTGGCAGGTTTCTTAGCCTTCTTCTTGGCCTTCTTCTTACTGGATGCAGAAGGTGCTGGTGTCGAGGCTGTGGCTGGCTCGGATGCAGTGGGGTCTTCGTTTGCTGGAGATGCCTCCTCGTTGGCTTTTATAACTTCGATCTCATTCTCAAGCTCTTCAACGCGCTTAGTTTTGAGATCCCTTGATTTGGTAAGCTCTTCAATTTGTGCATCGAGGTCCTTCTTCTGTTGTTCAGCTTCTTTTCGGATATCAGATTGAGACTTTAACTCTTTCTTCTTGAATTCATTAAGTTGGTTAATCTGATTGTTGAGGAGCTTAATTTGATTTTCAGCCTCTTTACGGGCATCCGACTCGGACTTGATCTTTTTCTCTGCTTTGGAAGTTTGGTCTTTAAGTTGCGATTGCAGAACTGAATAACTATCTGAGCTCAGCTTCTTTTGCTTTTCCAAGGTCTCCTCAAGTTTGGCTTTTTCGGTTTCCGCAGATTTTAATTTACTCAATCTTTCTGAATGCTCTTCCTTTTGAGTTTCCAGGGCCTGCTTGGCTTCGGCAAGCTGTTTTTCAGTGATTTGCAATTTGTCTAAACTCTCCGAATGCTTTTTCTGTTCAGTCTCTGAGGATTTCTCGGCTTCGGCAAGCTGTTTCTCGGTTGCTTGTACCTTTTCACCAAGTTTCTTATTCTCTCCCTCCTTGAAATCTAGTTGTTCTTGGCGGGACTGGGCGAGATCGGTAGCCTTCTTAACCTCCTTGATAGAATTATTCAACTCAGTTTTTACTTTTTCCAAATCCTCCGTCAACCCAGAAGCCAATTCTTTAGCAGCGGAAAGATCTTTTTCTGACGAAGATAATTTTGATTTCAAGTCGTCGATTTCTGCTGACTTAGCTTTGATCTCCGATTGCAATTTTGGAAGTTCATCATCGTATGAGAAAACTTCCTCTTTGGCATTCTTTTCTGGGATTTCCGTGGAATTCGTGGTGGAACTTTCGCCAATAGTAGAAGCGTTTCGAAGCGATGTGAGCTCGTCCTGAAGACTGATATTTTTCTTTCCAGACTCCAGGTACTTCTTTTTTTGATCGTCGCGATCTGCAGTTACACGTGCAAGTTCTTCCTTCACCAACCTGCCTTCTTCTTTCTGTGCATTGAGATATCCAGCCAACAAATCGGGTTCCTGAATGGAGCCGATAGGTGTATACTCCTTGAGGACTTTTTCGAAAGGTTCAATAAACTTGTTACGAGCATGTGCAGTTCGATAAGAATCGAGGAGAACTATTATGTAGCATTAATAATCGTACAATGAAACCATATGAATGAAACACACTCTTATATTGACCCTCAATTTTTTCCAGCTTTCGCAACTTTTTCTCGACTTCTATTGACGAAAGCTCAGCAGAAGCTCTTGGAGTGGCATTTGTTGTCTTTTCGCTGCCATTGGTCGCAGGAGAACTGCCGTCCAACGACTTATTCGCATCTCCCGCCATTGTCCCAATTCGAGTTGAAGGTTCAGAATCGTCTTCAATTACAAAAGTAGATTCAAACTCTGCCGGATCTGGGTCTCTGCCACCTATCTCATTATCATCCTTTGGCCGTGGCTTTCGTGGCTTTCTTGAAGGAGATTCGTTGGCGGGTCGTCTCGAAGTTGAGGATGTAGAAGCAGATCTTTGAAGATTGGGATTGGTTGCGTTCAATCGTGCCTTTTCTTCTTCGATACGAGTATCTATTTGAGCTTTAAGTCTCTTTTGAATTCGTCAGCTAATTTATCTGCAAGGTTGCGGTCCATATTTAAAGAGTGAACTTACCTGGAACATTCTTTCCACATGTGGTGGGTTGAGGGCGTCTTTACTTTTTTTAGACTATTAATAAATTATTGTAAGGTTGTATGAGAACTTTGGACGCAAGTGAATTCGTGAAATATTAATGATCATAATCAGCAGTTTAGAAGGCAATGGTATTGAATGGGAATTGAGGAAGGAATTGAAGATATAATAATGATAATAATAATACCTACTTGTCAACTTCTAAAACTACCTAGGTACATGAGAGACAGATGATAGTCGCAAAGGACAAAGCGAGAACCTCATAGCCTCATAGCACGTACAGTACTCAAGACTAAGACTGAGCCTCCTCTTACCCTCTTACCCCGTATCTATACCCCTACCTTGCTTGCTTTTTGTATGCTAGGTGATACTAGGTAGGTAAAGCTAGATTGGTACCCAGGTATATATGGGCCAGAAACGTACCTCAATACGAATACTCAGTACATCAACTCAAAGAGGTAATGATAATGCTTGTAATACTCTTTGGAGTCCCTGGGTAAGTTTGGTGTAATTTGGTGCCATGTCGAATGCTTCTAAATGCTTCTAATGCCCGTAATAACTATCCACGAGTGCATGTTTTATAGGGGTGTCACGGCCCGACGGGCTCGGCGGGCTCCATAACCCCTAGTAGGTAGTAGGTAGTTTTAACTAAATTCATTAGAACTTTACCCCTTCAAGCCCCTCTCAAGTTCCTGAGGTTCTGACCTAGAGCAGTATACGGAGTACTATATATAAACTATATACATAAATTATATATATATACCTGCTGGGTATGTATAATAATTAGGTTAATTGGACTAATTAGGTTTACTTCCATCCAATCACCGAAATTACCTTGTACTAGGAGTCAGCAGCTTGTTAGCTTAGCTACAAGAAGTGACGAAGCTATTACCTTGGAAATTTACCCCCTCCCACCAAGAACACTCTCGTCCCTTTCATCCACGATTTACCTACCTATTGATATGAACTTCAATATGAGGTGACATCCAACTCCTACTACTATCATCAAATTCCGAAATCATACTTTAAAATGGTTTCACTTTGGCCCTGGAAGGTATGTGAAGCTTCCATTTAAAGTTGTACGTTTAGGCCGTTCACTAACCTGACCATTATTCAAAGCGCGAGGATAATTCTCCTGCCTCCTTTGAAAAAACCCTATCTGCTTTGGCAGAGAAGATTTCGAAATCACAATCACAGCTAGATTCTCGAAGACTTCGCGGCAGACGTGTGAAAGCATTATGGACATTATATTCGAGTTTTGCATACTTAGTGGTGTTCGTCATAGCCCTTTTAGTGATCGGTTGGAAGGATTTGACAGTCTCGGAGTATACTGGTCTTGCGGGAAGTCCTTTGATGTTAGTATCACCAAAGAAACATATTGTCCTGATCGCATACTGATTTAGTCATTAGAATCTATCTCATTCGAAGCGGTATTACGAGATATTATGAATACAGGGTTGCATCTATCGCGCGTCGTCTGGAAGAACAACAAGCTGAGAGAACAAAAACCATCGACAAATTAAAGGCTGCCACGAAATATAACACTACACAAGAACTTCTAGAGAAATATGGTGGCGCTCCACCAAAACCTCCTGCACCGAAGAGAACTGCATCTGTGAAAAAGACTCCAAAGAATAAAGATGCGCAACCCCCACGAACAAGCATGGGCCCACCTGCGACAGCAAATATACCCCGCCCTAACCAGATTCCGAGTCAACCTTCTACCCCTCAACCACTTGGTAGCAGGACCCCTCCTTCATTTATCGCTCCGTCTCCATCGCCCGTTGCTCCTCGAAGTGAGCCAGGTCCTGCTGAATTTGCACCAAATGCATTTTCGGGTCCATCTCAATATGCACAAGGTCAATATGCTCAGAGTGGAGAGTTCGTCGCTGAAGGTCACTGGTACGATCGAGTATTAGACTTGTTGTTGGGCGAGGATGAGACACATCCAAAGAATCGTATGGCGTTGATATGCAAAAACTGTCGACTTGTCAATGGCCAAGCACCGCCTGGTACAAAATCCTTGGCCGATTTAGGGAAATGGAGATGCTTTGGTTGTCGAACCTTGAATGGGGAGGAAGATGAAGCTGCAAAGGCCGTACAAGAAATGAAGGAAAGAATCCAGGATACCAACGTAAAGCAAGAAATCCATTCTGAGCCTGAAGATAGAAGTACAGAGGATCCTGAAGACACACCTGGGAGTGAGGATATTGATCATGATGATATCAAGAATGAAGAGGAGTCGGAAGAAGAAAAGGTCGAGGTTAAACCAAAACGGGGACGGCCCAAATCAACCCGCAAAAAGGCTTAACTTGTGGCAATTGATCTTATTTCGTTATAAGCTATCTGCAGGCCATATCATATCCCCGATTCCCTTTTGTACCTTATCTATCAGATGGCAATTCGCCCGTCCCAAAAAATTATTATCACGTTATTCTTAGCCGATTAATTGCCATGATCATCAAGTTGTGATATCCATAATTCAGTCACCGCTACTGAATCCTTCTCGAAACTATAAATCATGCTCTTCGTTTTTGTTCAATCTTCACGAATTCTCCCCTCTAGCCGAGAATCTTCCACTTCCACTTAAAGAAGAGAATCCCTTGCGGTTGACAAAGGAAGATTGATATTTCGGAATATAAGGTGGAATTGTTGGCCCAAACTCCACATCATCCATCGCGGCGTCCTCAGCCTCGGTCTCGCGTCTCTCCCTCTCGTCCTTCTCCCTAGACTTTCTCGCAATACGCTCTTGCAGCTCTTGTTCCTTGGCTATCAATGGCGCTTTGAATGCGAATATATTACTCTCTAAACGCTGTGGTGTACAAACAGGAGCACGAGTCGAACCTTGTTGTTTCATTACAAGCTTCTTGTTCTCCACTCCACTGCGTTCGCCTTTCAACCCCATGTATTGTGCAACATTTCCCCATTCCATATATTTCGCGGCATTTCCCCACCGCTTCGACGGCGCACTTACAGTACTATAACCAGGATTGAGAACGCTGCTAGAAACACTCTGTCGCGCAAAAGTACTTTCCGCCAATGTTGGTTCTAGGTATTCGCTACCTTCTAGATCATCGGCCGACATTCTCATCGAACTGGATGCGCTTGAGGTCGATAGATTGGGCGGTTTGGAAGAAGCAACGATGGGAGAGACGGGTCTAGGTACGGGTCTCAAGACTGGTCTTGGATAATCAGAAGAATGAACAGAGACTTGCATTCGCTCCATACTCGGAGCTCGTCTCGATCTTTGGCTCGATTTGTGTCTTTCTGTTCTGGGAGAAACTAAAACGAAATCTTGTATCTCATCTTCACTGGAAATTCGTCGTGGTTCTCGTGGGGGTTCTCGTGATGTACATTGAGTGCGTGATTCACGTCGCGATTCTGGTTCTGGCGATCGTCGAAAACCAATAACGGGAACCTCCATCTTCTCCATGCTAGGCATTCGTCTGGTTGTTCGACTTGCTGCTTGTCTAGGAGTTCCCCCGGGAGCGTCTCGAGATCCCTGCTCCGCCGCCGAGTTGGATCTGGTCAATCTCTCGCTTTCCTCCATAAATTTGCTGTGATAATTGCGAAACATGGCTGCTTTTGTGATTGAAGGTATATTATCTCTATTGAGAATATGCGGCTTCGATGGCGGCGGAGGTGTTTGATTATAAGAGTTGAAGAATCGTACAGTGTGTTGGACGTAAGAACTTTGAGGGGGCGTAGTAGTCGTTGGAGGGTGCTTGCTGCTTGAGCTTCTCTTTTGAGTGATACTGTACCGTATCGAGGTTTAGTACGGTACCCGTATTTCTTCTTCAATAACTATATTTCCTCGATACAATGAATTCTTTAGGAGAATAAATATACTCAGCAATCACAATCCAATCAATACCTAAAATAACTTGAGTTGATAGTGATCTAGAGCCTTTGAAATAACACCAAAACGTCTTATTGACAGTTTGAAAACTATCTGCAGTATACTCATAGAAGCACACACATTTTTTTCTTCTTAAATACACAGTATATATGTTTAATTTTGCTATGAGTGTCTGTAATTGTCCTTCACATAGGTGATGTGATTATTGTAATAATTTTGAATAATTATTGATTTTCCATTCTTCTATTGGTTTGGGGATCTCGAAGCGAGAATGAGAAAGGGGTGAATTGAATTGTCAGGATTTGAATAATGGCTGCCTCGATCTGGGAACATGTGATTCATTGGTTGATTAAGTGGTTGTTAAGGAGATTGAGTCTGGGGAATTTTTAATTGATGCTAGAGAGATCTTGGGGATGGGAGAGGAGAGGGGGGGAGGGTGAAAGTATTGAGGGTTTGGGGATAGTTTGGTTTATTTTGGTTTGGTGCTGAGATCTGGATATTCAGGAGAGTTTGGATAGAGTGTGGGGGAGAGGATCTATGGTGGAAAGTGAATTGAGTATTCTGGGTGGCATGGAAATGTGATTGATTCAGGAGAACAAAATGTGCTGTGCTGTATTTTGCTGTGATTTTTTTCATGGTTTGATGACTGTGAAGGTGAAGATGAAAATGAAGGTAAGGGAGACGGGGACCTGTGGATGGGTTTGTACTGGAAACCTTTGATTGAATAGCTGGCATAAGTGGATGCTGGAGTGAGTGGGATGGCGAGGGATTGTGAGTGTGGCTATGGATCTGTGGTTTATGGGTTCTAATTTAAGTATTTGGAATATGATGAGGTGGTGAAATACTAAGGAAAGTGAAGAACTTAGGGTGAATACTAGGTGCATGGAGTCACTTTGCACAGAGATGTTACTTGAATGGATCTTTTGTCTTACCAGTATTTTAGTAATGACAAAAGTAAGCGATGAATTTTAGTTACAGTTTCTGATGCATGCTTTATTGGTTCTACTCAAGCTACTCAAGAAAGGAGATGAGCTGTTTTTTCATGCAAGAATTACTTGAACAATGAAAGTGCATTACCTTTTTAATACTGCAAGTGTTTTTACTTCTCTTTGACACTAGTGCAGGTGAGACAATGATCTTTATTCAATAGTCATTCAAAAGGCATCTAGATTCCTCTCATTGTACCTCGGAATACTTGTATTTTTTCAAACACACCCAACATTTCCATCATCGCATTCCACGAGAAGCTCTTCCTCCTCACCCATTTATATCGGTTATCCCAACCTCACTCACTCTCTTTGCTTTCTCTACGGTTTACGCTCCCCTGCTTATGTTTCCTTCTTCTTCTTTTCCTCCTTGGCCTTAGCACACTGAGCCATCCTTTCTTGAACTATCCTGTTACCTGGCGATTTCGGATCCATGGATTTCTCTCTACTTCTCAATCCAGGTTGCTTGGTCGGTTTGAATATTATACCATCCATAACCGCGTTGTCCAGTTCGTTCTTTTCTTGCTTTGCTTTGTTTTTCTTAGGCTTGCTGCCAGTGGGATTGCCAGAGCCGGAATTTCTATCTGCGGGCATGTTGGTTGAAGGATTGGGTATGTAGTATATGGCGTGAAATATCGTAGTTTAGTATATAGAATATATATCTGTGGCACGTTTGTCGATCAGTAATCCGGTATGCAAGACTCTCATATACACCTCTCACTGAAATTATGGAGACGTACATATTTTTGGCGGCCCAAATTTCAACCCCAGCGTTTCCAATCTTGACGTGATAAGTTCGTACGAATGGCCTATAATACTCTTGGCGGCTATATCTAAGGCTTGTTGGAGCTTGATGGTTGAATTTTCCTTGTATCTTGCGTATCATTCATGGCACTGTGTATGAATTTTTTTCGTATGTATGTTTGTTGCCCTCACAATATTTTGGCAAAGTCTTCATTGCCTCTTGACGACATCTTGTTGGGCTCGAGGACTCACTCGATATTGTCAACATATCTAAATCCCTCCAAATCCTTCATATTAAATTGAGACCAATTTTGTCCGCATGTAGGTTGATTTCCATCGCTAAACTCAGGGACCGTGTAAATTTTGCTGTGAATTGCCATTACTCATTATTTCTGTGTTCCTGCTGTGTTCCTATGCAGTAGAGTTTCCCATTAACTATGTTACTCATATTTGTGCATGTCTGTCGTCAATCTTAAAATCTCTAAACAAGGTAGATGGTGGCAAAGGGAAAGCCAGCAAAATTTCGCTGTTGAAAAATTAGGATATAGGCCATGGTCTTGACCGAATACTGTAGACCTCACCGACATCTTGGTAGTGGAGAAATATTATCGATTTTCGTTATTTTTGCCTATGTCCTTGTACTCTGTACTTCCTTCCATCTTCTCTGTATGCTGAAGCCACTTGTAAATTGTAATTGTAGTATCCAGCTTTTCGATTCTTATCTTAGTCTGCGAGATATCTTCGTAGGGCACAAGTGCCACCGCTGCCCTCATTATCTGAATTTGGCCTTATTCTTTTAGCCCTTGCTCCTTGTTCGCTCTCTGTATTATTGCACACTTTGATTCTTCGCTGCTTTCGGAGACTTGGAGAGGTTTTGTTGTTGGACTCCGCTGGATTGTGTGTCGTGTATATTCGTGCTTCGATCGAAGTATGAGGACGCAGCTCACTTCGAGCTTTCATGAAAATGGTCAGCAGTGCGAAGGCTAGAGAACTTCGAGCTCTCACTTTCATTCTTATCTGCTTGAATCGTGCAGCATTGGGTAGGCTTTTGACAGTTGTCGTGTCAAGTGTGGTTTCGCAAGATTATCGAGTAAGCGCTGCAAATGCCACACGATTAATGTGGTTCTTCGATAATTTTAGCTATATTTGTAAATTTTGAGATTTTGCTTGTGTTTTGGATTGGGAGTTTGTATCAATTTTCCCGGTGCATCATGATACGTTCCGTATGCGCTGAATTGCGAAGTAGTCTACCTGGTCGGGAAAACTCCCGAACATAGCGCAACTTACTCACCTCATTCTTCTGATTACCCCCCAAAGACTTCACACTGCTGTGCAACGAACGAATCAGAAAACAACACTCCATTCTCTGATGAAAGGATAGATATTGCATATTTTGTATCAAGTTCCTAGTATGGCAGGTTAGAAACCCTTGACATTTCATTGATGAGCTCCTACTTTCAGAGCCAGAGTATGACCAGATTAAGTAATTTCAACCATTTCATAACTAGTAAAATATTTGTTGAGAGTTCATTTAATTTAATAGATATAGTTTGAATGTGTCAAGTGTTGAAGTGAGGTTGGTGGTTTGCCCCTCGAGGTCTCGCTACCCCGTATCACGGGATCAAAAAAACAATGAATGACAAAACAAGGACAAAAGCTGTTTTTGAAAATTTTGACGTTTTGTATGTAAATTTTCAATCGTATTGTGATTGTTTTACTTGAAAGGCTTGTAAGAATATTATGATAGTCTTTCACTCTCAGGTATCAAAGGGTATTCATCAACCTTGACATGGGTTGAGACTTTGTACACGATTTTTCAATCTAGAGCGCACAAATTATTATGAAAAAATGCGTCAAGCTTAAGAAACTCCGCAACATGACCAAAGGAGCTTGTAATAGCCATAATATAGCTTTAACTTCTCGTTGCTCCCTGTTGTAGGTTCCGTAAAGCTTCCCACATCCTATAGATAGCTTGAGTTTGTGTCATAATTGATGATGATGAGCTTGAACCTTTCTTTTGCCCACAGTAGTAAAGCTTTCAAGATCATGACTTGACCATCTATTAACAACAATCTGAGCTAGTTCTCCAATTGCTCTCAGATGGTAAACCCCGATGTTAAACCCCGATGTTCTCCTCAGCCTCCAATAGCATTGCCTTTTAGAACAAAGGATCCACCCTAGCAAAAAAAGTAACTGGAAGAGCGTGAAAAATGCAACAAAAAATGGTACCCATCCCCAACAACATATACTGGGATAACTGTACGATTGGAGTCTCTGGCTGCAGTAGTAATTTAAGGGCAAAGAATCCAGTATGACGGGCTGAAGTCTTCATTACTACCATAGTCAGAGAGTCTAACCACACAGTTAACCCTGCATATGCAATTGAGGATGGGCGAAGGAGCTACTCTTAGTTGGGATTATACCTTTCACTCTGCACGTAATATCTACATTATGAGAAGTTCTAATTGGATATCTTCTTTGCTACTTGAAGGACCCACCGGTACGGGTAAAATAAACACTTGGAAGAAACTTATGGTATAATGCATTGCATGTATTTGGTGAATTACTTTTCACTTCTTCTTTATCCGCTAGAAGTTTTCAAATTTGAGGCCTCAATTAGCAAAGATAAATAGAGTAACGAATAGATCATTCAATGCTTCTTTATAATTACTCATATGATGTATTCAAAATTTTCTCTTTCCACACCGATCATACACCGAGCCTCGAGGGTAGTAGGCATTCATCTACATATTTACTATGATTTAGAAGGAGCTCTATCTAGATACTGTACAGCTATCCATCGAACCTGCGTTTCTCCTCGTGTCCCGATCATCACTGAGTGGCCAAAAATTAAAAAGAAACTACAAACAGAGACCTTAATCCTACGATTCTGTTAGAATGAGTACACACTCTACGGATGTCGACAAACACCAGCCGAAGAAGCAGACCAGAGGTAGCTCGACTCTTCCCGCCCGGAAGCCTTTCCATACACTTCCTCTGTCCAGTCCCATAACATGCCGCGATCCAGAAGTCCCACTTCTCTCGAACACCCTCAATACCCCATCTATTCTGACCACCACTCATACAAAAAGGCTCCACTGTTAAGAGCTAACCAACTACGCTCTCCCACGGAGAAAACCCTCAAAATTACAAAAACAATACAACGACAATTTGGTATACACTTGCTTACTGGGGCAGTGTGCATGTACATCCCAAATTGCATAATAGTTCACGCTTAATCAAAGATATACCTCCATGAATTATGTTTTTGAGGATATGATCTAGAAAAGTCTAATGCCTGAGTTAACCACTGGGAATCGACATGGGCTTTATCTGTTAAGTCTTTACTTCTCTCTCTCTCTCTCCTCTCCTCTCCTCTCTTCTTTTTAATGTCAACGCTAATTATGTACAATCCAAAGACTCAGATTCCAACATTCAGCTTCAAGGTATATCAAAAAATTTGATACGATATAATTAGCAACCAACATTCCATTCCAAGCTACGCCAACAATATCTCAAGATCTACAAGTATAAATTCGATAGAGGCAGTAAGCTCCTCCTTCATTCCCCGAGTAATTTCGACTAATACTAATCGATCATCATGTAACAGAATATCTCACCGCACATTATCTCTAAGAGTTTTCAAGCCAAGAGTAAAGAATCCCACAAACCTTAAACGAAACTGCGCACACCTCAAACTGAATACCAACAACAAGTACGAAAATTTCCTCGCAAGCATTGCTGCGAACCTCAATTCCTCAAGATCTCCAAAACTAACACAAAGAACAATATGAGACGTAGCGAGAATATATATATCGAGGGAGCAGCTAGCCGCGAGAAACAGTATCTCCACTTTAGAGGACAGGGCTACGAACAATCCTAATACAAATTGACACACAACTTCCCTGTCCTGGACATCTATCTCATCAAGCTTCCAAGGAATCCAATCACAACAAGCCTGCACACCATCTCGCCCTTCCAAGTCCACCAAGAGCCCCCCAAAAAGTATACAAGTCTCACACAACAAAATTCCCCATCTACAAAACCTCCAACCGCCCCCCTACACAATTCCTCGCCCAGATTCCAACACCAACAAAAGAAGCAGTACTACTAAACTAAACTAACCTAACCCCACGCCAAGAACTCTAGCCTTCTACTCTATCCAGCCTTCAAATTCCCACTGCCTACTAGGTATTCAACCTACCACAATATATCCTATAATTGGCATCTCATATACACATAACAAAACCAACATTACAAGTTCTGATCCGATTCATGCACAATCCACAAACAGTCGTGCTACTAGAATCCCAGCTCGAGCTTAAACACAAAACAATACCACACCGTCCACATACTCTCTCTACCTACTCGTAAACAGCCTGTGCGACGAACTCACAGAAACGTACCAAGCCCTTTTAAATTTCAATATCACGAATGAGGTATTTTCCAGGTAGCGAGGACGACTACAGTAGTTCAGTTTAGTTTATTCTAGTTTAGCTTAGCTGCACGAGCTACGTGAACTAGAACCACAAACCAGGTACAACGACGAAGGTAAACCATCCAGAGAATTATGCATTCAAAGACCACCCCCCTCTCCCCCTCCTCTTTCTCAGACTCCCAGTTTCACAATCTCTCTCCATGCCGCTCTACTGCCGAGGTCCTACCCATCACTTTCATTAGAAGCGATGCTCGACGTCAAATTATACTATAGCGTACTCATAACCTATATCAAATAACACCACCTCCCCTCTTGAACTCAACACCCTTCCAAGAGAGAATACCACAGGCTAATCTCATACGATCATCACCGGATCATTCCGTTATCGCATTCCTCATCTAGCATCCACGAT